TTACGCCAGTCAACAAGGTACTTCGTAACGTACTTGCCACGGATAATGAAAACCACGATACACCAGCTAAAAAATATACACCTAACCGTGTACATTACAATTATGATGTCACATCTCCATATTACATTAACATCACCCATCGACGTCACAGGCCTCAGCCTATATTTCCAACCACTGCGGAGCCGCTCAATAAAGCCCGCAATATTGAAAGAAATAGTTCAGATGTACAAAGTGTGAATTCTGAGGTATTAAAAAAATTTATTCATCAATTTGTAATATATGTATGTACATATTAAAATGTAAATTGGTTTAATTGATCATTTACAGGGACATCGTCCGGAATCACTAACTTCACCTCAAAAGTCAGTTAATGTTTTCGACCTAACAGAGAAAAACTTAAAAGAACTTTCCCTGGCCACATCTAATTTAGAACGATCTTGCATATCTATGATCGAGTCTTGGCGAAGAAAAGTAGAGAGTTCACGAGCGAGAAGGTCAATTTTAAGGCAGTACACCAATGTTGACGAAATGTTGGACGAATTAATGAACAGCGAACATCTTAACTATACGAACACAGCATTGCAAAAAGAAGTGAAGTCAGATTCGGCAGAAGAGCAACCAAAAGCATCTACAGCAACCGCAGGGAAGTTCTTACTTAATTCTAATGTCTCTTTGGGTGCTATAATACAAAAAGCGGCGCAAGCCAATGTCTTAAATATGGATCCACCAGCACGCAATCGAGAGTTAGACAGTAGCTACCATACTGTGCCACCTTTCACTGAACAATTGGATGAAAACATAAGTGCAAATATGCCAGATGAAGGCTTGCAAAACTCACAGAAGAACGACTTAAAAGAAAAAAGTACAAAAAATTCAGCATCTGAATATTTTCTACAAATGACTGAGGCTTACGTACACACTGACGACGAGAACGGCCTAGTTTTCTATGAAACCAAGCTGCTTAGTACCCAGAATCATGCAACTAACAGGTAGTATAATATAGCGATACTTATATACATAGGTCTTTTACATGGTTATTACATATGCATATATGTATGTATGTACATAAATACATACATACATATGTATATGATTTCTTTATTTCAAGCGATCAACAAAATTTGAATAATACAATATCCACTAATGTTACAATTCCTTTGGACTACGAAACGGACGAGCTACGCGCAGAGTTGACACATTATGGCGATCCTCCAGGTAAGCGGTGTAGCTCTGAATTATAAGATGCATTGCCATGCAAACACTGTTTCTTTAATTTGTGTATTTCAGGACCGATAACAAAGAGTACGAAAAAGCTTTATATTAAAAGACTTATAAAGTACAGAAGGAATGCTCCAAACCCCCTCCAGCTTAATACCAAGGGAGCGGCTAACGCTGATAAAACTGCAAGTAGGTTGTCATTCATATTTTCAACCGACTTCAGAAAAGAAGAAGGTTATCAATTCCGCGGAATATTTTTTTTAATTTTTACGTACATATGTTACCGCATAAATTTGGACCATGTAAACAGATTTCGATAAATATTTTTTTTATCGTAAATGTTTGGTCCCATACCAATTTGGCTTAGATCCGATCATTGGATCATGAAGAAATTAACGGTACTTTTTTGTTTCAAAATTATCTTTATTCTAATAAAATATTTTGTTCTTTTGATAAAAAGGGTTCTCAGTGGAACTGCAGCGTACTATACGTTCTTCAGAACAGTTTTCTTTAATACCCGAGTACATGAAATATGAGTCCAAATCGGCAGAGTATTTTGCCAACCTTCCAAACAAGCGGAAAATGAGAGAAGGACACCTAAAACAAAGCTTTATATATATGCTTATCGATCCCCGGATTTCATGTAATTTACCAGGGGAAAGTGTGGTATGCCTGTTACTATTTTAACCTTTGTATATACAAATTTAAGTAGGTATTTTCTTCTTTTCACAGTTCCTTGACAAGCATAGCGCATGGATGCGATTTCTTCATTCAGTTTTCTATGTGGGCAAAGGAAAGACTTCACGGCCATATTCCCATTTATATGAAGCGATGAAATTGCATTCACGTGTACATAGTCAGGAGAATGTTTCAAAACCCAGTTCGGGAATTGTAAAACCACGGCGTGGGAAAATTTCATGTAAAGTATTTCATATAGCAAATATACATATCGCTCATTTACTTCAATAGTGTCATAACTCAAAAAAGCAAAACTAGAGAAAAACGACTTAGAAGTTTTGAATTTAGGTAGACTCCTATAGAAGAAATGAATACATACTTTGTTCAACCTGTTTCCAAGAGTACTTCAGAAAGCGTCAAATGTACTTTAGAAACAGTAAAATGTACATCAGAAAGCGTAAATTGTACTTCAGAACAAATAGTCAGTTCATTTTACACCTCACTAATATGAAGCACATTTTACCTTTTCTGAAGTACATTTGACGCTTTCTGAAGTACTCTTGGAAAAGGTGAAGTGAGTTTCCGGTTATCGACACAATATTCATATCGTCACCTGAAATGCAGAAAGATGTAACAAACATCATCGTTGAAATGCAGTCATAACTAAAAAAAAACATTAAAACTCACTTTTCGAGTTATCATGATGGATTTCATCGAATTACGACTCCCCACATAATTTTATGAAAAATATACAGGCAGGTTCTGGAATTTACTTTCGAGTGAATTTCAATCAAACTCGCTTTGAATTCAAATTGGCAGGGGTTGAAATTCACTCGGAAGTGAATTGCAGAACCTGCCCGAGTATGTAGGTAAAGGTAGCGGTAATTTCTGCATACTCAGCTCAAAAGTTATATATTTTGGATTATGACACTATTGAAGTAAATTAGCGATATGTACATCGATGGGCGTCCGCAATAACGACACAACTAAAAATTTAAACAAAACAACAAATATACTATTGTGAAGTCTCATGTCTCTTAAAGTAATAAGGATTATAGATATGAGATACTTTGAATTTTGAGTTATATCATTATTACAGATCACCATCGGTATGTTTCCTTCTATGCATTAACAAACAATCCTATTAATAAATCATTTTAGCGATTCGAAAACAAACTCTTTGTGTAGACGTTTTCAAAACGAGTCTCTGTAAGTCTCCGGATAATAAAAAACTGAACAGAATCCTAGACATTTGGCGCTGTGGAAAAGGTGTGGTTTGTTTACATGTCTTTCACAATATATTACCCTCAGAGGCGTATACCAGAGAAGCGGCTATAATCGACGCATTTGGCTTAGATCATTTAACAAATTACAAGCGAGGCGATTATTACGGTCCATCGCAAACCTGGACTATGAAGGAAAAGAAATTCTTAGGTATATCCTTGCTGTATAAAGCATTACAAATATATTTAGCCGAGGGAGAATCGCAACTTTCCCCGAGTGATCTCATATAAAGTTGTAAGCTATGTTTATACATAGTTTAATATGTAGTAACTAAGACATTGTCTCATGTATAATTGTATGTAAGTATACAATTAGTGAATGTGATATTTTAGATGATTTATGTGAAAAATATATTGACTTGGGATTGTACAGATCTTTATTAAAACATGTTTTATTTCCGCTTATCGGCGCCTTACATACCAAGTAGAGGAAACTAACAAAGATATTGTGTGTGGAAATAAGTTTTCCAAATTTTATATCGATATTTTACTTTTTCTGGCTTTTCTTTTCATTCTCCTCCTTTTCCTGTTTGATAGCCTCAACATGTTTCTTAACTTCATCTGCAGACAGCGTTACCAGTCTCGGAGTATCTCCAGGCTTTTCCGCTTTCTTCATCACGACAATTTCCAAATTTCCACTGGCTTGTGCTACCTCTCGAAGTGCCTTAATGGTCAGCCGAACAGCGGCATCTTCTTCTGCAACACTTTCCTCCTTGTAGTGCTTTTCTAAATACTCGCGTACTGTTTTGGCAGCACGTCCAACGGCATTCGCCTTCCATTCATAGTAATTCCCAGACGGCTCAGTCTGGTAAAGATGTGGATCGCCATTGCTATCGAATCCCGCTATCAAACACGAAATACCAAATGGTCGTCTGCCATTGCTCTGTGTGTACTTTTGTTTCAATTGGGCAATGTACCTGTTGGCGGACCTTTCGGTAAATTTCTATATCCTCTTTGAAATCATAACTTACCGTGTAATATATTCCAATGTGACGGGGTCCTCCACGTTCAGTTTGTGGCTTTGACATTCTACACGGGCTCGATTAATAAGAATACGCGCATCAGCAGTTAAACCCGCAAAGGCTATGATGACATGGTCATCCAAGGTACAAATTTTCTGCACCGTCCGGTCTAACTGTAATGTGGGCATAGACTTCTTTTCTACACCCAGCACAACAACGTCTTTACCACGTACTCCAACCTGCAAAATTTGTATGAAATTAAACAGTCTTGTTCAATGGGGAAAGGACATTTATAGAGGAGGTTAAGTTCACTCACAGCCGAAGATCCTCGACGCACTGCTTCCTGGGCGTACTCCACTTGCAACAGATGGCCATCTGGTGAAAAAATAGTGACAGCGCGATCGTAACGGGCAGACATTTTACTAAAAACGTGATATCGCAGAAAAATATGAAAAAATCAACGAACAGCGGGCAATGATTACAAAAATTGTAAAAAGTGTTTGTCAGCTTCGTGGTTGAGCACTGCCAGCAAGAAGTACTATTTGTTTAGAGATGCCAGACACAACCAAGAAAAAACTGACAAACAGATGGCGCTTGTCACGGATGGAGTAGGTAACAATAGATTGACTTCCGGTAGTGCCATTTGACCTTAACTTCTGGTAGTGTAATTTAGTCCCTAACCGATTCCGGTAGTGCATTCGGTCCCTAACCGATTCCGGCTGTCAACTGTCAATGTAAACGTCGACGGCGACGTAGAAAAAAGATTTTGTTTTCTTTTCCATTTTATACAAAATAAGAAATAAAAGATTTGTGTTTTATTTTTACAATTACCAAAGCATCTATGTACGTTTATCGCGAAAATTGAAACGAAAATAGATAATTGCGTGAAATTAACGGCTGTGACGGCGACGGCGACGACAAGTGCGTGAAAAATTCTTGAGTTAAAAATTGAGACTTGTGGAATTGGTAAACGGTAACAGCGCTGACGGCAGTGGCGACGTATTCGACACATGCAAGATAGCTGGGAAAGCAAATATATTTGAAATCTCGGGAATTCTTATTCTTGGCTAAAAGTGAAGTGTATTTAGCTAATAAATTATTCTAAGCAACAGCACACTGCGGATTACAAAAGTGGCTGAAAATTATGGCATTGGCTCGAAAGCTAACAGCAAAAATATGTAAGTTCCTACTTAGATATGTACATATCTTAAGGATATTGCATGGGTTAGTAACAAATTAATGAAAATCTGATTTTATTTACATATGCCTTCGCAGATGAGATAAAAGCTCATGACGCAAATGTTACCAGTCTTGACCTTGGTGAAACGGGTAGTGTATTAGTCACTGGCGGACAAGATCGTAATGTGAATTTATGGGCGATCGGTAGGGAAGAACTGTTCATGGTAAGCAGAACACTGTGCTAATATTGAAACCCCCAATACAATTGTCGAAATTTCAGTCACTAACCGGACATAACAGACCGATTGATTGTGTACGTTTCGCTTACAATGATGACTTCGTCTATTCGGCGGACGATATTGGTATTATCAGACGCTGGGACTTAAACGCGCAGACCATCTGCTCGACTTTGAATGGCCACATGAAAAGCGTGCGCACATTAGACTTCAATCCATCCGGGGAATATGTGGTATCTGGTAGTAATGACACCACTGTTAGGTAAGTTACAAAATTTCATTCATAGTACAGTGCAAAAGAAAAATACCAATCAATTCAAAACAATTCCAAAATATCGTTCAATCTTATTTCAAATAACCTATGCAACAACGAAATTTCTTGGTTTCATGTAACCTACCTTTTATTATAGTCCAAAGTATATTAGTCTTACCAATTCACTTAAAACTACCAGATTTTTTTAATTTGTGTATTCAATAGCAGACGTTGTTGTATTGCATTACAATAAATTGTTATTTCATAGCAGCAGCCCGTTCAGTGACTCTTAATTGCGTAGGAGTGTTTCTGTTTTTTTTTTGGGCTATCATACATATAAGTACATGTTTGCATGTGGGCGAGTGTTTTATTAACTGCAACCTTTAAGTCGAAAAATTAAACCTCAACCTCATCCAATTATGCTCTATTAATGCCGCATCAATTTTTAATTAGGCACTCTGAGATTCCAAATATATGTATGTACATATGTATATATGAAATGACTGGCGTGCTGTTTTGGACTCGACCAAAATAAAGAAGAATATACTAGGTTTAAGGCCGTTTTATTGCTCTTCATTCTTAAGTTAGCCGCTTTTTATGAATTAAGATTGCGAACGCCAGAAAATAACATATGTAGACAAACGAAATAAAAACGCAAAAATATGTATAAAACTAGCTATGTTTATAGCGCTTAGAAATGTTTGCGAATGGAATTCTTACGTATGTACGTATGTATGCACATGTATACATACAAATGTAAACACAATTATAGTTCCCCACAAGTCATTCTCCGTGCCCACACATTTAAGAACTACCTTCTCAGCTCAATCGCTCGAAATGCTTGATTTCTATAGATATTTTGCGCTATGAATGCTCGCAAAATCATGAGCAAATAAATTTCGTTATTACGCGAGATGCACACAAGTACTTACATACGAACATCTCAACATAAAAATTAAAATTAATATAAATTTGCGGAATAACATATAGTTAATTTCACTTCACTTGCACGAACTTTCTATTATTAAGCTGCATAAAAAAAGCAATTTTTTATGTTGCAGGTTTTAAGTTTCGCATCGTTAATATTCTTGTAAACTGGCTACTTTATGACCGTTTATGTTATTACTTTTTGTACATACATACACTTTCCCAACAAGTCTAAAAAAGATCTAGCTACACCCATTCGTATGTATTTTACATTCATATGTATGTACCCTTGTCTGTGTAATAATTAAGTTGGCGATATTTTGACCAGTTTTGGCTAATTTTCCTTTATTTATTTAATGTTTGTTGATCTAAATAGATATATGTACATACAAATCATCGTTTAAAGTACAAAACCGCGTTACGTGGTTCTGCAAAACCTCGTAAATGACATTTGTGCCAAAAAAGATATTTGCTCACCTGACATCAAGCCCTTATCCATTCATACTAAAATATCGATACTTTCGATATAAGCCGCTGTGGTGTAGTGGTTAGCAGTGGGCGCTACCACTCCCCAAGGCCTGGGTTCAAGTCCTGGACAAAGAAACATCGCAAAAAATATATAAAAAAGGTTTTTTCTTAACAGCAGTCGCCCCTCGGCAGGCAATGGCGAACCTCCGAGTGTATTTCTGCCATGAAAAACAGCTTCTCATAAAAATACAATCGCCGATCGGAGTCGGCGTAAAACTGTAGGTACCTCTTTGTGTGGCAACATCAAGGCGCACACAACAAATCGGGGGATAAGCTCGAAGATATAACTAGGGATAAAAGAGAGAACCGTTTTGAAATAAGACAAGTTTTACTCTCGCCTATACGCCTATACATGCGAGGGTTTGCTGATACGCGGTTTTGTACTTTAAACGACGATATGTATAATATACGAAGGCATTTATATACCCGAGCGCACTTGTGCATAAGGGTATTATAACTTTGTTCACATAACGGTTGTTTGTAACCAGCAAAACGAATCGAGATAGATATAGACAAATATATACATAAATGATCAGAATGAAAAGAGAAATCGATTAAGCGGTGACTGTCTGTCCGTCCGTCAGTCTGGCTGTGCACACGATAACTCGAGCAAAAATTGAGGTATATTAACGGAACTTGGTATGTGTACTTCTTTTTAGCGAAGGATGGATGGTATTGACAAGTAATTTTTAGCAAAAAAACCAACTTTAACGGTAGCTTCAGAACTAAAAAACTGCGATATTTTAGTAACTCCTGGGGCTTATTTACTCCAAATTGATACTGATTGTGATTTTAAATTCGTATTATGAGCTATGCAAGCGTGCGAGTATCGAATTTTCTGTCGAACAGAATTATGCTTTCGTTGGTGTAGCGAAGTGTTAGAAAATTTTGAAAAATGTATGATTTTACATTTGTTTTCTTACTTTTTGGCTGCTAGACACTAATTTTAAATAATTGTTGTTAATTTTATGCAGTTCTATCGTCGTGAATACTTTACACACGCTCGAAAGGCTGGTTTTACTTATGAAAGAAAATCCCAATACTCTGTCGTCGCGATCACTGAGAACAAAATCATAGAGCTGTTTATAGTTTTAATATATTTTAAATAAATTTGGATCAAAAAATTTCTTAAATATATTGTATGTCAAAATATATTCGAAACACTACACTTAAACTCTCTCAAACGTTTTCTGCCAGGCCAGGAGCCAGTTTTCTAAGCTCTCATCCTCTGACGAATCGCAGAACCAGAACTCCGTTGTACTAATTTTTATAAACTCACTTTCTTATTTCATTTTAATTTGCACAAATCTATATATGTATCTACATATGTATAATAAGCACACTATTTAGTTTGCCCGATTTGTAAACAAAGCTTCTCAGCGGTGAACAACCTAAACGAGCGAAATTCACAATAGCGCTATTTCCCATTTAATGAGCGCCATAAAATTCGTTCGATCAGCACTTTCGACCGCGGTCGAAGATCGAATGCAACTCATAATAGGGGCCTATATATTTCGGTAACCGCTCCACCAATTTCTCCCACACTTGGAATGGTTGTCGGTACAACACACTGAAAAATTTTAAAATCGGGCAATAACCACGCCCACATCCCATATAAAAATAATTTAGAGAAATACAAAATCTTCGATAAATCATTAAATACTGAAGCTAATTTATTCAAAATTGACATTTGCAATAATTCTTTAGCAAAAAATACGTTTATGATAAAATTTTGGAATATTGGCGTGGCACCACCCACTTCTGACAACATATGTGTATCTCGACAACCGTTTGAACCAAACTCGGTGCTGTGCTTGCCACATAAAATAAAAACGCTGAAAATGATTGAAACTGCGATATTTGGAAATTTAAAGACGCTAATTTAAACAAAATTGATACTAATAACAATCCCATAAAAGTAAGTAACATTATTATGGAATTTTGGAAAATAGGCGTGATACCGCCCACATGTAACTATATGTGTTTATGGAAGGTGTTCATGTAATGGTATTTTTCGGAAAGGTGGAAAAAAACTATATTAAATACTTGCGCCGGGTATTTATTGTTCGGCTCCGCCCGAACTTAGACTTTTTTACTTGTTTGTTATGTCATCCAATCTTAGGCACATAGATCAGGTTACTATTCAATAATTCAGCAATAATAAGTTACAATAATTTATTTAATTAATTTTTCGAAGAGTTTCACCTGTTAAAAATCAAATTCAAATTATTTATTAATCAATGTCGTCAGACCTGCATCGCTTTTTCGAATTTTTGTACAATGGTCAATATGTCGCTAACTTAATTAGTTGACCACAACTGTGCATGTCTAGTTGCAACTAGTTTTTAAATTGAACACAGAAAAATTAAAACGATTTAATTCTTAAATGAATTTGTAGTTCACTCCTGCTAAAAGTTTTAAACAAAAGCAAAAGTTGCTGATAAAATAAAAAGGGAATATGCGACATTATAGCTAATTTGATATTTCAATTATCTCTAGAATATTAAACCTCGACTTGAAAAGTAGAATATACACATTTTAAATATCGCTACCCAAAGGTGAAAAGGTCCAATGACAGATATTGCGAAACGACATCGATTTTTCGTCTCTCCTGAATAATTAAAAAAAAAAATGTACTTGTCACCTTTTCACGTTTAGGTAACGATATTATTTTTTCTCTTCTAGCCGTTAACAGAGAGGGTGTCGATAAAAGCTTTGACGTTGGAACTCAACGTCGACGTCGATTTTGCTTAGCCAATATCAAATTTGTGTAGACAGCAGTCAGTTGACCTCGAAAACTAATGGGCGCTTAAGTATTTTGTACAAAAGAACAGTAGGGGTATTCTCCAAATCTTGCAAAGCCATTGCACGTAGCACGGAT